CCATATAGCATTTATTGAAACATAACTACGTAGTGAGAGAAGTCCATATAATTGATATGTGAAATTATTTTAATATCTAAATCTAAATATCGTGCTTCCATATTTCATATGGAGGTGTTCTTGATTTGTAGAACTGCACGATAAATGTTACCAATATAATTACTTATTACTGGATTATTAATACTAATTAAATCATCAATATATTGATATATTAACTGACAATCACATCAAATATGCATCACAATTACTGTTTCATTGTTTTCTTATTTAAGTTAAAACTTACTTTTCATGTTTATTGTGGCTGGTTATAAGTTTAGTAACTTATAGATAGCTAAATTTAAAAAAAACAGGGTTATATTCAACTTTTTTTTTAGAATTGAAAACAAATTTGTCTTTATCTTTATTTGTAAAAAAAACAAATGAAAATCGAGTGCCATGTGCATGCAATCTAACAACTAAAAAATACATAAAAAATATGTCAAACAACACAGAAAATCAGTTATGGTCAGTTCAACACTTCTTTAAGCCTGTATCACGAAAATGATTGTAGTTAGGACTTTTTTTGTATTAATATTTAACTATTTCTTGGATGAAAGATGTCAAGAATTTAATGCATTAATTCACATTAGTTGAATCACTAAGTCAAATTCATTAATGACATTACATAATTCCTGCTGCTCAAAATGTTTATAAATTGACACTTTTCTACGTGTTAAACCTTAGAAAACAACTCGGTTACATAAACTTATATTTACAGATTTTCTTTTTTTTCCCTGATGAAATTAAAAAATAAGTAGATATTAAAACAACAAAACTATCTATTAAAGAAAATAATTATCATTTATATATATATTCAACTATATTTATTAGAAATCTGAATTTATGTTATATTGGGAAAAGAAATCTAAACTAATATCAGACAAACCTTTCCGTCAACTGATTGACTGACAGACCTTCACCTTCACTAAATATGAAGTTAATGTTTTCATTTATAATTCTGAAACAAAAAAACAAAAATCACCAGAAACGTATTTCTCCACACTCATATTTTTTGTCCACATAAACAAATTTCAGGACAACTGCAAAAACTTATCTTTGAACTAGCATGTCACTAATAACATTCAAGTTGCTAATTTATTTGTTCATACTAACAATTTATTCATCTAGACTTAACCACAAACAATTGTTATTATCAGACAAGTTGTATTTACAAAATAATTTATTAAAATGTACAAAATCATGATATATTCACTTCAGCCGTACATACTTTATTTTTACATCTTACAACCGCACATACTTTATTTTTACATCTTACAGCCGTACATACTTTATTTTTACATCTTACATCCGTACATACTTTATTTTTACATCTTACATCCGTACATACTTTATTTTTACATCTTACAACTGCACATACTTTATTTTTACATCTTACAGCCATACATACTTTATTTTTACATCTTACAACCGTACATACTTTATTTTTACATCTTACAGCCGTACATACTTTATTTTTACATCTAATGAACGTAACAGCCACTCTAGAGATAGATAACAACATTTTGTTTTAAAGGAAAATATGGCAACATTTTTTTACAGGATTTTCTGGTTACCAATGTAAAAATTATAGTCACTAATGGTAACCTGACTTATGTAAGGTTGATTATTTACAAACAAACCAGAAATATTGGAAGTTATTCCAGATATCATTTAGCAAAAATTCATTAGGACTTATAAAACTGTCAATTCAGAGTAAACATACATAAGAATTTACCTTTGATCTCTTCTGTGTACCGGTCCAAATGTTAATGCCTTGCATAAAATGTTTACATTGGCTATTGATATGTGGTTTGTCCACAATTGGCAGCAGTGGCTGACAAGTATACTGAATATTCCTGTAGAATTTTCACCCAAAGAGAAAATTTCATCTGAAAACTGTAACAGAAAAACTTAACTAATGTAACTTGGACATTTTAATTTTTGTTATTAAAAATCTAAATGAAAAAACATTTATATTTGATCTTTATTGCACTACCTGCATTACAAACGTTAAAATTTTAAACTCAAAATATTTTTTTTTAATTCAAGTCATATGAACTATTATACAAGATGTATCACTATAAACTTTACCAAGATTTAAAATAGTTAATTAAAACTTTCAACAAGATCTCAATAATAGCCATCAGTGATTTAATAGCTGCCTATTGTTGTAATATAAACATGGGAGGAATGTGTCAACCTGAATTAGTAGGTTTGTACAGTTTCAAATCATGTCGATAGGCTTAGCAAAAATCTGTTTTCTGCTGTTTTAATTTAATAAACTTAATCTTGCAAACTTAAGTAGGAGTTAAAACTGTCGTTTCTTCCAAAACATCAAAAATACTTGCAAGAAAATAAACAAAAAATTCACCAAATTATGAATCATGCATTGCATTAGCATACTCGAACTTAAAGAACTCATTCGCAAGTCAGAGTAATATAGGACATCATATCCTGTTGTAAATAACGTTTTATTCTCACGTTAAGCAGAGAGAAGTGAACAATAAAAACGGATGGTTTTGTTTTGCAAGTGAAAAAAATGTTTGTGACATTGAGTAAATTAAAACATTAATAGAGGTCTATCCAAAGGCAGTGGCAAAAAGATAATATGTACATCACTGTCATTAGGATAGAACTTGAGAGCACTTTAGCATACTAAATTAAATCATGGTGTGAACACTTTTCCCAAGCTAGTGAAGCATGGTTACAATTAATTGTATTAGTATTAGGCTTATAATATTCTTCACACCACATTCTTTATTCAGTCCGTTAGGATCTTTCAAGAAGAAAACGATTGTACATCAGTATTTAAATCACACTATGTCCACCATATTACAACGTGTAATACAGAGAAGCCAGCTGGGACAAACAAATACAAAATATAAAAATTAAAGATCATGCAAATCTTGCCTAGATTAAATAAAAACTATAAATTTTGAAGTAGGAGATTGTACAGTCAGGTATATATATTTACAACAGTGTTTTTGTCACAAAGTTTGTATACATCAAATTTCAGATCATGTTTCGATATACACTGTCATTCAACTGTTTCATATTATACTTCTCTATTCTTGCCACTGTGATTATTGCATGGGAGCAAGATCACTTGAATACGTGATCCTTTGCCAGGTGCTACACGTTGAGACTCCTTGAAAGCCTGACACCAAGTGCTCATGTTTGCACATGATATGGGGTTCCCACACTTACACTTGACACCAAGTGCTCACGCTTACATCTAGTATTCACAGTTACATGCTATAGCATTCCACAAATATTAGTGAACATATTGTTTTCAAAATAATCAAAAGGAAATTATAGTGGAACATGGTGGATGTAAGATCCCTGTCAGAAAACAAGCTTAATTATTAAGTAAAAACACTAAATATGAAACAATAGGAAATAACCATTTTTATTATTGTTTATGAAATGTATCTAATGGTTCCATATAAGGATTTTAATTAGGTTAAAAGTATTCCATCTTCCCTTTATAATCATACACTTTAATATTTTATTTATTTTTACACACAATTGATCAGAGCCAGTGTTTTGTTGCAAAGTTTCAATGCTATTCCTTACCTCTTCCAATCTCGAAGCTAGTGTTGGACACTGTAGTATATCTGGTTGATAGGTCATATTTACAAACGCTTTTACTGATGGTAAAAACAAATCACTCTTCCTCAGTTCCAAACATGCTTTCCAACTACTTTTTATGCACTGAATAACCAAAGCCTTCTCCGAATGTACAAACTGTATATTTCAAAAACACATATTATCAAGTTTCTGTGCAACTGTCAGATATTTCCAATAAATATTTTTAATATCTTTAAAAAAACTGAAGTATTTTATCTTAAATATTAAACATTTCTGAGGAAAAAATTTTATATTTCACTTATTTAAAAACTTTCAAATTACAAATAAACAAGCCCCTCAACAGACAGAGCAATAAAAACCAACTTTCAATAAGAAACGTGATATCTGAATAGAATTAGAAATAGTAATCACCAAGATAAACAAAACATTTTGTGTAAACTAATTAAAGTTTAACAATCTCCGACACCGTCTAGATAATTAAAATTAAGTAATACTGTGACAAAATCCAACTTCAGCCTGGTGCGAATGGCTCAGTCATCCATGAAGAATTGAAAATTAGTCCCTTAATCAATGAATAAAATAAGGAAATTGAAACAAAAATGTAAAGAACTAATAAAACAACCTTATCTCAATAAAAAAAATGGACAACCCATTTTGAAGTGAGTAAAGACAAAGTTATGAAACAAAGTTACTTTTGGTTATCTACTGACAAAGAATGGAATAGAAGATACCAAAACAGGTACTCGACAAACCTCAAGAGAACTATCACAAAAATCTACCTGCTTCTCTTTGTCAGTAACAGAAAGAATATTTTCTAAACCACTGCATATAAATTTCCAAAGAAGGAAATGTACGCAGACTAGATTTTGAAACAAAATGAAACACATAAAACAAACCTTTTGAGCAAGAAGACACAGGTTTCCAAATAATGGACACATACAAACTTTCAGGAACAAGTTGTTTCATACAAGATAAACTTTAAAATGTAATAGGAGCAATATTACAGGGGAACAGCTATGGGAATTTGTCTGATTGGCTCATTCAAATGGAGATAAACAGCCACAGAAATCCCTGAGAAGTAAAGTGCTTCTCTGAGAACATAAAATCTTCATGACGGATCTAACACAAACTTTTAAATGGGAGTCAACTGATGAATTAAAACAACAAAAAAGACTCACACTGTGATTTAAACCACATAACAGAATGTTCTAAATCAAGATAAAGTAATGCTTGCAAACCTACAGAAAATAAAAAATTTATAAAAAATATTTTGAATGAACCTGTAAACAGAATTATCAAGGTGCTACCACAGATTCGAAGATTTTAACTGTACAAAATTACCAGCTGACAAATCAAGAAGCAGAACTCCACTCAACCACAGCAACAATCTTTAGAAATAGCAAGATCTAGAAGCAAATCTTTTCTAAAAATTGTTGGTGTGGTTGAGTGGGGATTTGCTTCTAGATCTTGCTATTTCTAAAGATTGTTGGTGTGGTTGAGTGGCTAAAGATTGTTGGTGTGGTTGAGTGGAGATTTGCTTCTAGATCTTGCTAATATAGCAAGATCTAGAAGCAAATCCCCACTCAACCACACCAACAATCTTTAGAAATAGCAAGATCTAAAAGCAAATCCCCACTCATACACACCAAACATCTTTAGAAATAGCAAGATCTAGAAGCAAATCTCCACTCAACCACACCAACAATCTTTAGAAATAGCAAGATCAATATGCATATCTCCACTCAACCACACCAACAATCTTTAGAAATAGCAAGAACTAGAAGCAAGTCTCCACTCAACCACAACAACAATCTTTTGAAGTAGCAAGATGAAGAAACTTTGTCCAAAGCTGAGAGAACACCTGACAAGAAGTACAGGGGAAGTATGAGCACCATTCTTTCTTAGAAGCATCCATGATATTATTAGTTAGCCAAAATGGCTAGGTGATGACTAATGAAAGATATGAAACTGTTTTACTATGAGTCTGATAATGAAAATAATTGCTTCTCATGAAATACAGTAAAATGAAAGTCAATATTTATTTTTGCCCCTTTTGTCCACAGGCTTGTCAGGGCAGGATTTTGATTGAAACTGACATAGATCGATACTCAGAAAGATTGGGATGACTGAACAGTCTTCAAGAATCAAAGTTTGTTTGAATACAGCCTTAATGTTTGAGACTGGACATGAATGCAAATCACTGAATCCACAGATAATGTTGTGGCATGTTCTAAAGACATGAGAAAAACAAAGATGTCATTTTTCACCATTACTGAAATCCAGACTGGTTATACAGTTCAAGTCAATGGAAATTTGAAGTCACACAAAAACATGGGATTTTTTAAAAATAGACAAATTACAAATACTGAAAGTAGTAGATAAGTTCTATCTGCTAACAAAAATGATGCTGTAAATAAAAAATGCAATGTGGTAGATTCACTGTTAAAGAAAGAATAACTTGGAAAACAAGCAATACATTCTCTGAGTCTGAGTGAGAGAAACCTAATGACCTATCAAGTTCATGAGGTTAAAACATAAACAAAGTGTCAACTGCTATGTGCATCCTCAGAAAAGTTATCAAGCTCACTTGATAAGAGGGTGATTTGAAATATTATGTTCCAAAAATGCAAAAGGCAACAATAAAGTAAAAGCTCCACAAGCCATGTTTGATTATAACTAACATTATTTCAAGTTTGAGTTCAATGGCTGCCCTTGAGTTTGGGAAAAATTACAGGTTTTGAATTTAGATACATGATCATCTATTTGCTTTCAAAATAAGAAATATCAGCTAAAAATAAAATGATGCAAGATAAAAAGTGAGTTTAAATATAGTTCAATTATCTAATGAAGGTTTCAGTAGCACCAAAAACCAGACTGTGCTACGAGTGAAAAGGACTTTCCTAATTTTTCAAAAGAAGCCAGTATTGAACAACCAGTAAAATAGTATTGAATGTTTATACCCAATTTAGGTAATTAAAATATTTTAGGCTTATGGAATTATTGGGAAAGGAATAAATATTGAGGATAGTAAAGGTCGAAGATGGCTTGAATAGGTAATGAAGAAAATTTTATTATAAGTTTAACATATTAACAAGGTTTTTATCATCCTCAGGTACAAAACATTGTACATTTGTTACAATGTTAAACTTGTATTAGTTTTCTTCATTACCCATTCAAGCCATCTTCAACCTTTACTGTTTCAAATATTGTTACACAGAAAAAGCAAAATACTTATACCAAGTTAAACTTATAACAAATTACTAATATTTAGTTACTTATAATTACATGATAAAATAGACAGTCTAAAAATTCCATTTAGCTACATTTCAAAATCATAAAACATGATAGGTAACACATGATGAAGGAATTACCTGTTTAACGAGGTACTTTAAACATTGAATGACTGTAGGATAGGTAACACATGATGAAGGAATTACCTGCTTAACGAGGTACTTTAAACATTGAATGACTGTAGGATAGGTAACACATGACGAAGGAATTACCTGCTTAACGAGGTACTTTAAACATTGAATGACTGTAGGATAGGTAACACATGATGAAGGAATTACCTGCTTAACGAGGTACTTTAAACATTGAATGACTGTAGGATAGGTAACACATGATGAAGGAATTACCTGCTTAACGAGGTACTTTAAACATTGAATGACTGTAGGATAGGTAACACATGATGAAGGAATTACCTGCTTAACGAGGTACTTTAAACATTGAATGACTGTAGGAATAGCTGCACCATATCCAGTCTCCAAAAAATCCACAGCTAAATAAAAGACACTAGGAATCACACTGGTATGAGCTTCAAGATGGAAACATACACACTCCCACATATCCGAGACACAAATATACCTCAGATTACTAGCTGACTCTTGTGAATACCTACAACAAGAAACAACAAACAGCTTGTGAAGTCAGAAAATTTAAACACATTCAAGCTCAGTCCTAAATTAACTTTACAAAGCAAGTTTACAATATAGGAAACAGGTCATTCGATTAACATTCAAAATTAAATAAAGTGGTTTACCTGCTAGAATTTGATTAATTTAACTATTGTAAAAGTATTCATTGTACTTAAAACAATGTTATTCATTTATCAGAAACATCATTTCTTGTTAACATTCACAAAGTTATAACAATAATACCAGTATTTTCACTTCTCTATACAGCAAGACTAAAAGCACTGAACAACCAATCAAAACCTTCTACTTCACATGTTCCAACACAACTAAAAGTTGAACAACCAATCAAAACCTTCTCCTTCACATGTTCCAACACAACTAAAAGTTGAACAACCAATCAAAACCTTCTCCTTCACACGTTCCAACACAACTAAAAGTTGAACAACCAATCAAAACCTTCTCCTTCATATGTTCCAACATTTTTGATTGGTTGTTCAATGCTTTTAGTTGTGTTGGAAGATGTGAAGGAGAAGGTTTTGATTGGTTGTTCAACTTTTAGTTGTGTTGGAACATGTGAAGGAGAAGGTTTTGATTGGTTGTTCAACTTTTAGTTGTGAAGGAGAAGGTTTTGATTGGTTGTTCAGTGCTTTTAGTTGTATTGGAAGATGTGAAGGAGAAGGTTTTGATTGGTTGTTCAGTGCTTTTAGTTGTGTTGGAAGATGTGAAGGAGAAGGGTGTTCCAACACAAATAAAGCATTGAACAACCAATCAAAACCTTCACCTTCACATGTTCCAACACAACTAAAAGTTGAACAACTAATCAAAACTTTCTCCTTCACATGTTCCAACACAACTAAAAGTTGAACAACCAATCAAAACCTTCTCCTTCACATGTTTCAACACAACTAAAAGCACTGAACAACCAATCAAAACCTTCACCTTCACATGTTCCAACACAAATAAAGCACTGAACAACCAATCAAAACCTTCTCCTTCACATATTCCAACACACAAAACTTATTCAAATGACCCTAATAAATACTTTTGAAAGATTCCTCAAATTATGATGGTTTAATGGGCAATAAGAAGCAAACACAGCACAAAATGACAGCGAAACAAGCAAACTTAAGTGCATAGCAGAAAAATAGGAATCAAAACAACCCGAGTAAATATTTCTTTATCGTATAAACACACAAGTTTAATATCACAGGGTTGTCACAGACATTTAGCTAATAATCGGTTGATCTACATGATATTAGCACTTAATCTACAGCTGAATATTGTCAACCATTAATATCAGGAAACAGAAACAGAAGAAGTTTACCAATACAGTATAGGTATAAATCTAACAAGTTTGACGTTTCTATTAAAAATGTATGTATGTTTTGTAATCCATTTAGTTTTGACTTTACCAAAACACATGATACTACTTCCTTCAGACCAAAAAATATTATATTTAAGTAAAATAAAATAATTTATTATATCAACTAAATATTACAATTTTCTAAGCAATCACCTTAATCCTTCTCAGTCTAATCAAGTCTTTTAACGAGTGTTTCAAAAAATAATTCGCTATTAGCACCAATAATGTTTTTAAAGAAATTAAATTTTAAGTTTTTATCATATGACACTGTTACTTATTAGTAAAGATAGCTCACTTTGTCAGATAAACTAGTTCATAAACTAAGAAAATTCTGTTTTGCATCTTGTAAAACTACATTTGAAATACACAAATGTATCACATTAAACTTATCACTTACTGAAGTCACACAGCAGTGTTCACGTGTCAGTAAATCACATTGTAAACTTATCACTTACTGAAGTCACACAGCAGTGTTCACGTGTCAGTAAATCACATTGTAAACTTATCACTTACTGAAGTCACACAGCAGTGTTCAAGTGTCAGTAAATCACATTGTAAACTTATCACTTACTGAAGTCACACAGCAGTGTTCACGTGTCAGTACATCACATTAAACTTATCACTTACTGAAGTCACACAGCAGTGTTCACGTGTCAGTAAATCACATTGTGTGGGACTTCAGTAAGTGCTAAGTCTTACAATGTGATTTACTGACACCTGAACACTGCTGTGTGACTTCAGTAAGTGATAAGTATAACAGTGTTCACGTGTCAGTACATCACATTGTAAACTTATCACTTACTGAAGTCACACAGCAGTGTTCACGTGACAGTAAATCACATTGTAAACTATCACTTACTGAAGTCACACAGCATACAACAGCATCTGTAAATTCTGACCTCAACAGAAGTTTTTGAACTTTATGTAGGTTTAATGCTTATTTAAATTACTACACTCATGATTTACCTGAAACTATTGTTCCTCTTTAAAAATAACGCCAGTCACCTGACTTAAGGGTTGTTCCTCAACTTTATAACTAAAATGGAGAGAAATTAATTACCTACTAGGAAGGTTTCTAACAACTGAGAATTCCATTGCTCCACTGTTTATACACATACACATTATGTTGGAAATCTTATTTCTAAAATCGGCTATTAGCTCTTCATAGCCAGCTATGTCTTTGATGATTTTCCAAACCAGATGTAGTGACCTCCAAGCACACATCAATCTAAGAGACTCGCATGTTTCCTGTTTTTCAAAAGACAAAAAAAACAAAAATCACAGATCAGGATCAACTTAAAACAGACAGAAATACTCCTTTAAAGGACTCGTATACAAATTTGAATTTTTATTCAAAGGCTTTTCAATGACAAAAGCATGATTTTGTAAACTGCCTCCTCCAAAAAAACAAAGATGAAATAGTTTGCCTTACAATATTTTATAGATGAAAATATAATATTAACTTGTTTTCAAACTGTTGCAAAACCTAAATAAATAAATCATGACTAAACATACAAGCTCTCATTTCAAGATGCATTGACCTAATCAAGGCAAAATAAATTAAGAAAAAATAAAGTGAAATAAAAAATAGGTTCATCAAAATGTTAGCAACCATATTGAAATTACAGCTAAGATATAATTTAGGGCTGAAAAATTAATTGTTTCCATCTTAGTTATGTCACAATTAGATTCAGCAGTTCAAAATATCCCTGGTCTGATTCACACTACCACAATAAATTCACATACAAATCTTTGGTAAAAATACTCTACCAAAAAATTTTGATTTTTTGTGTACAACATATTTGTAATGTTTACTAAATGCTTGTCAGAAGTCTTGAAGATACAATTAATAAATTTGACATTATATTAAACATTGCTATGTATAGCTTCGGCCCGGCATGGCCCGGTGGATAAGTCACTCGACTCGCAATCCGAGGGTCGCGGGTTCGCGTCCTTGTCGCACCAAACATCCCCACTTGGGCGTGGGGCTAGCAACTCCACCTCGATATCAATCTGCTACCGAAACTGTAACAACACTTCCGTAGGCGAAGTGTTGTTGTAGCCCTATGTTCCACTAGGAACGAAAGGAACTAAGAGAGATGTATAGCTTCACATAAAATGGGAGTTGATGCAATGCATCAAAGCTTACATGTAGGGTTAAACACTACTGTAAAATAGTTGTTAACTTCTTCATAGAGTATCCATTAAAATACAGCCCAAACACAAACAAATATATGCATGCTTTCGTTTTTCTGCAAATCCAAACTTGCCGTCTATTTGGATCTCGGAGCTTGTGATTACTTCATTTGGACGATAAGAGTTGTAATTGATAATTGTTGGACTTCTCCATAAAATAAGCCATCAACAAGTGGATCTTGGTGGCAAAAATTAAAGTGCTTGTATTGCAGATCTACTTATATACCTGCGTGGGATTTAACAATCCACTTTTCATTCAAAAATTAAATGGAATCCTGAATTGAAAGAAGTGTTGAAAAAATCTTGTGTTTACCAGTGCTGTGCACATAAATTGATTACCTGTGAGTTGCAATTACATCGATCACTGTCACATAAAACAATCAATTAATCAAAACGTCACTTAAATTGATTAATGCCAAAAAAATAATCAACTAATTGAAATTAGCTATCTTTTTTAACAATCTTCTAGTCATTTTTTGACATCAATTTTGTTCAGCTTTGGGCCAGCAAATTATCTTTCAAGTGTGTGCAAAACATTATTTAAGAATACATAATAAGAAACCAAAAAGATATGAAAATTATTACAATTTTTCTTGAGCTTTATGTATAATGCAAGACATGCACTGGAGAAATTATGTTTGCATTAACACATATTTTGCAGTAAAATGCTTGGTATAAATAAAAATTAATAACTGTTTCTAATTGACTAAAAAAAGTCAAAAAGGACTTACATTCACTGATTAACTTATACACCTTTTTGGTCACTATATGTCATTAAAATTTCAAAGTTTTTGAGGTTCAAAAATTCTTCCAGAATGCAAAATTTTAACCATCTGATTTCCTTTAAAATCTCCTATGATCAGAATAAACTTTTATTTATAAATCATTCTTCAACAATATTAGCTCTCATATAAAATGCTATAAAAATTTCAATTCTTTTCTCAAGCTCCAGTAGTACTCGTTAAAAAAACTGCACCTAATTAGATTAACTTGTTGATTTGGTATTGACTTTATTTTTGTAAAAAGATTTACATTGTCTATTTTTATCATTTCAGCTTCACTGAATTTTCAAACAAACTTCTTCTTTAAGAACTTGTGTATTTTTGTGTGACATCCCTGCTGCAGTGGTGAAAACCCGCAAACGAGCCACTCATGCATAACAGGAGTTTGAACATGTGATAATAATATCGACAAGTACTGCATATACCGTTATCCAACCTGAAAGTAGGCCTAGTGAACAGTAACAATAATATCCACAGGCAGAACTTCGAAGTGATGATTTAATATTTGAAATAATTTTACAGTATTTTCTAATCGAACAGTACAGGAAACAAATACATAAATACAACAATTCTAAAAAATAAAAGGGAAACTATACTATTCACTGTTAGTATTATAATTGCGTAGAATGCATTTTAACACACATCTTGTAAATATCTCTTAGCAAAATGTATGTAATAACTATCTGGTGAAAAAGCATACAAAAGACAAGCTTGTATACTGTACAGTTTCTTATTAATGAATTAGTGAAGTGTATATTTATACAGTACACAGTTATATATGGACATATCAAACATGCTACTCTTATTATGAGTTGTGTTTTGCAAACAACAAATGAAAACCCATTTGCAACTAAATATACTATTTAGGTTTCTTCTAATAAAGAGTTTAGTAACTGATTACAAATATCAATGCCCTCTGAAGGCAGAGAAGAAAGAATGAAAACTTTCCCTGTCTTCAGAGAGCATTGATAATATTCACAGGTACTGCATATACTCCTTTTTACCCTGAAAGTAGGCCTGGTGAACAGAGATAATAATATCCACAAGTACTGCATATAATGCTATTCAACCTGAAAGTAGGCCTAGTGAACAGTGATAATATCCACAGATACTGCATATACTCCTTTTTACCCTGAAAGTAGGCCTGGTGAACAGAGATAATAATATCCACAAGTACTGCATATAATGCTATTCAACCTGAAAGTAGGCCTAGTGAACAGTGATAATATCCACAGATACTGCATATACTCCTTTTTACCCTGAAAGTAGGCCTGGTGAACAGTGATAATATCCACAGATACTGCATATAATGCTATTCAACCTGAAAGTAGGCCTAGTGAAAAGTGATAATATCCACAGATACTGCATATACTCCTTTTTAACCTGAAAGTAGGCCTGGTGAACAGTGATAATAATATCCACAAGTACTGCATATACTGCTATTCAACCTGAAAGTAGGCCTGGTGAACAGTGATGATAATATCCACAGATACTGCATATACTCCTTTTTAACCTGAAAGTAGGCCTGGTGAACAGTGATAATAATATCCACAAGTACTGCATATAA